GTTCAGAATTATTGTGTATCACTGAAATGCTTACTATAAAGGGGAAGAATAAAAAGGTTCTGTCAAGTTTATCCCTTTGGCTTCAAATAAATTTTGATTTATCCAAATTCATATATCCCCGTCCTAGCCTAGTCTTTGATGTAGGTTTTGGGGGGCATCTGCTGTGAAACCAGCAGATTTTTTTTGCGAATGAATTGGTAGGGACTGTTTTTCTCCTTGATAAATTGTTTCCATTTTTTAAATCTTACAGCTAAAGGACACTTTGGTTGATCAATGAGGGCAGCTCAAACAGCTCAGCAGATAATTGTGTTTATTGTTTTTTTCTTTGGGATATGGTTCTTTAATGAATTTGAGTTAGATATGCCTTAAAGGTAAGATGCCCTCTAAAGAAGATGGGACCTAATTTTTAAGAAAACCATAGTCAGTTGTCTGAGAGGAAGAATGGTGGGGCCTAGTAGTGAGTGAGAGAAGGCTGAAAGGGGGGAATAGCATTTTTTGGCTGTTCTCAAGCCCAAAAATGACATATGAGAGAATAATGATATACATTATATGAGTTTATTCCCAGATGTTTCCCAGCTGACCTAAGAGAATAAAGTTTGGGTTTAGTTAAATCCTTGCATCTTGTCATTGTATCTCTGTTTGGGAAAAATAAGTGTTACTCAGTGATCAGGATATCCTACATCCTGGACTACTAGTCCAAGTATTGGCTAGTTCAGTCAATTTTGTATTGGTGATACCTAAAGTAACTAAACAAGGTTTGAGTGCAGGAGAGTTTCCAGCAATTGACATGTTTATGGAGAAAACCAACACTGAAACACTGAACACATTTCAGTTTCCTGAATGATAGAGTACATTGATAAGTGGGCAGGCAGAGAAATCTTAAGGGTGGAAGAAATGCCTTAAAATGGAAGACCTGAAGAACTCCACTTATTATGTTTATTAAAAAGTCTAATTATAGTCTTTAAGTATCTTTAAATTCAGAATATACTGGATAAGTAGAGACTCTGAGATATGTCAGAGAGAAGCTTAGTAAGATCTCTTTGATTACACACCAGTAAATTCACAATCAAACTAAAATACATATGTTTTTTAGTATGAGGCTAAGAATTATCAGAAGAAAAAATACAGCTTGTGTTGTAATCAAGTATAAATAGTTGGACTCCAAATCATGTAATGCAAAGGCATTTGACCTCTTGTCACAAAAGCTCAAGGCTAGATGATATGACCTAAAGGTCCCCCTGGTCCTTTAGGCCCAATATGAAAAACATCAGTAATGAAAACCAGATCATCTCAAAAATAAGATGTATGGGAAGCAAACATGTTTGGCAAGAATGCTACCAAACATGATTCAGTAATACATAAAATTGTATTCACAGGAATACAAATACCTGGTTGTATGTGGGTAAGAAAACAGTGTAAGAAATAAAAAGGAAAAGCATCTTTTTCCCCCCTCTTTTTAAATATTTTTATTTTTACTTAATTTTATTTTTTAAATTTCTTTCCTTTTTTTTCATAGTGAAGTTGTGAAATATTTGGAGTAACATCATTTAAAATATGAAAACACATTAGATAGGAATAAAAAACAATTCTTCTTAAATGCAGAAGTATAAATAGTCATATTAGAATTCTTTCTTTACAAAATTTCAATCTGTTTCTTTAAAATCATTAGCAATTTTCCAAAATTTATATATTCTTGACCATGAGTGGCAGAGTTCAGGAGAGATTGTGCCTCTCTCCAGTAGAGGAGCAGTGAACATTCTGCTGTCTTCTGTTGGGTGCAACAGGGCCTCTTGTGGAAGCAGAGGCAAGATGGGTCAGTGTTCCAATGTCTGACACAGTGCAGGAGGGAGAAATAACAAATAAAATTGTACACCACATCAGTTCTTAGTAAAGATGTGAAATTATTTATTTTGTGGTATTCCTATATTTGAGAGTACTTGAAAAAATAATATCAAATGAGTTGTTTTGTTCTTGTTTTTTTAAGAATGGCTTTTAAGTTTTATAATCATAGCACATGTTACAACAACCAGTTCAGGCCAAAAAACAGATGACCATGCCTTACAAAAAGTGAAAACAAAAACTACCTTAGCCCAATTCCTGTCCCAGTTTGGATCCTCTTTTGAATTAATAATGACTTGGAAACCATACACATCATTCATTTTTCAATATGATTTGAAAACTTTGCAGCTGTAACTGGCTTTTTCTTCATTTTTACTCCTGCAACTTCATCCATTGTTTTAGCTCATTGGAATTTTTCTCTCTCTACTTTTCATTTTTCCCTCTCCATCTAAATAAACATTTTTTATTGGTGAACTAATATCTGATTTTCCTCTGGGAAAAGAGGTGCTGCAAATAAAATACGTTCAGGAATTTCAGGATATGAAAGCTTTTCAGCTCATTCTTCCTTAGAGGTCTATAACTATAGAGAAACCGTGTTGTGCAGTGCAAATCTGTGGTCTCAAGCTACGTCTAGCACAGCTTATTTCAGAGCTCTTCTTTTTCCCTCGGCATTTACCCACAGGGGAGGGAATACAGTATGTAATCACGATTCCCTGTTAATTTTGCAATATGAAATAACTGAGAAATTTCAATTAATTTCTTCTCTTTTTTTCCTTTATTCTGTAGTTAACTGTGCCCAGTGCAGTGTAACACAGTAGAATCACCTCATCCTTAGAAGCAGTTGTCAGAAAAATATGGGCCTGCCTGTTAGAATGTATTAGCCCAATACATTGTCTCCATTTTATTATGAAGCTGCTGGGGAAGCTGTGATATAGAGCACTGTCATTACAGATCTATTGTTAGAAGGGCTCTACAGTCTTCTGTGCACTGCCATTAATTTATAGCAGTAAACAATATGTAGCCCTCCAACTGCAGCAAAGCAGAATCTTTTAATGAGGTGGATGTTATTACCACAATAAATCAGTGCATTCGTGTAATGTATAATTCAATGTGTGTATTCCCACTGTAACTTCTCTGAGTAAGCTGATAGTGTATCATTGTCAGTGCACAGCTCCACAGTTCTTTTTTTTTTCTTTTTTCTTTTTTCTTTTTTTTTCCCTAAGCTTTTTTCATTTGGGATTTTTTTTTTTTTTATTTGCTTGCAAATAAATGTGACATGTCTCGATAGTTGTCCTGTTGCAGGCTTCAGAAACCAACTGTAACAATAACAGCTAAAATCAATACTGTGAATTCTGGCTATATAGAGCTCTGCATGATACCTTTTTTTTATTTTTTTGAAAAGAGAATGGAATCAATTCTAATTTGGTTTAGCTTTATATTCAAGGAATGTAATTTTATAACTATTGATTTGGGCTATACTCATTTGGAGAGTAATAATAGAGGCAGATAAAGAGAATATATAAAATGTTACAGAACCATACAACACAACACTGTTCCTATTTTTAATTTGTATAATTTGTCTACCAATGACCTTCTTTCTTCTTTTTCTCCCTCAAGCATATCTGAGCCTTTAGGGGAAAAATCAGTACAGATAGAGATTCCAAAATGGTTCTTATAACAGAGAGACTTCTTGGAGTCAGTTTCATACTTCCCTGGAATAAATTTGCTAAATCAGATAAAAATCCTTTTATACAGGAACAACTTCTTTTAAGGGGCTATATTTCAAATTAGTGAACTGCAAAAATAGTAATTAACCTAAGATGTTTTTCTTTAGCCTACTGCAATGTGAAAGCTGCTCTAAGTAAAAAATGTAAGATTAGATTTTAGGTCATTCAAAGATCTAATCTGTCCTAGAAGAGAAAATACTTTGAAGCTTGTATGCCAAATTTCACATGAGCTGCAAAGAAGCAGTTATTTGAATAATCATAATCTCAATAGCAGACAGATTTTTTCACTTGAACTCTGCTTGAATTGAAGATGAGGTTACTGATACTTTTGTTCAAGGACTTTTAGTTTTTCCTCACCTTGTAGTGTATTCTTAAGTATACTTATTCTTGAAAAAGAGAGAGAAGGAAATATTGTTTCATGTTTGTTCTTTGCTTTTATTTGAATGCACCCATTGTCTGTACAGATGAATATAATTCACATTAATAACATACAGTGTGCTCAATCTATATACAAAATTGTATTGCATACATATTTTACATATATATCCAGAAATATTTTAGAACTCTTACAGCATTCTATATGTGGAATTTCTAAATTCACTTTTGGGTTTCTCAGTGATTTGTGTGACCTACACTCACGTTTTTTTCAAATCATTTATACAAAAGTCTGCTGAGGAAGTGCACAGTTATAGATAGCAAAATATTATGTTTCCTACTTTTAAATAAATCCCTGGGTGTTTATATTCTAGGTAAGCACTGAACAAAGAATAATAGTATTGGTTAAGGTGTGATAGACATTTTTAGTCATACATACATTGTTTCTTTTATATCAATGTTTTATATAGAAATTCTGCTATCTCATTTGTCTGTTTCAAAGGTTAAGATTCTATGAATTAAATAAAGCTTGGCTTGAGGTGGTAAATGGAAAGCCTAGAAACAAGAGTAGTAATATCAAAATTCCAAGTCCACTGTTAATATTCTGTCACCCCATCAATCACTACTTTTTTCTCCAAAAAAATATCCAAAAAAATGTTTCTCAATGTTGCTTACTATTTGCTGAATAGTGTATCCAACATGCACACATATCCGCAGGCACCCAAGTTAAACACCACTTTGTCCCAGACATTCCACTGTGAATTGGATGGAGTCAGTGACTTGAATCAGCAGCAAATGGGGCTTGTATTAATGCAGAGGAGATTTTTCCAGCCAGCCGTGTGTGTGTGCATGGAATCCCGGTTCCAAGTACACAGACCTCCTCAGGTACTTACAGGAACCAACATCTGCTTTTGCAAAGCACCAAATCCTGTCTTCTCCATGCATGCCAGCAATTGTTCTGGTTACCAAAAAGACAAAGGGAGTAAGCTGTGATGTAATGTAAATGTAATTCACATTAATCTTATTTGCTTAATGACTTTGTTTTTAATAATCTTGCAGCCTATTGGAGCTTTGAACCCAAAGAGAGCAGCATTCTTTGCTGAGAGATATGAATCATGGGAAGATGATCAGGTCCCAAAATTTCACTATGGCACTCATTATTCTACAGCAAGTTTTGCACTCACGTGGTTGTTAAGGATTGTAAGTATATTGTTTAAAAATGCTTTTTTTAAAAATGATAATAAGAGCTACAAATATCTGAACTAAAACTGAATGGTATATGAGAGTACTGAAATTTTTAAGTAATTGCAATCAGTAGCATAGGAGAAATGTGCTCCAAAGTTCATGCAGCAATGTATAAAAAGTTCATGTACCAGCATTTTCTGGTACAGCCTTTTCAAGTCAGTCAAGCTTTTTCTCCTTAAAAATTGCTTTTTAGTATACATGCTTCTTTAAATATGGTTAACTTCCCCTTCCTTGCCTATTTTCTGACTGGACCAAATAACAAGCATTTGTAGTTCTTAATTAATGCATTTAATTTTCCCCTCCTAATGCGTGTGAGTTGGTTTTTGATGATCATGAAGGTCTTTGATGTAAATAACTAATCCTTAAAAATCTGCTACAATTTATATGGAAGTAACTTTGAGCTGCTACATATTGATAATGTATTGGTCAAACAATGCGTTTTTCAATAAAATTGAGAGGCGATTTATCTCCTAGGAAGTAATTTCTTTGGGAAAGCATTAGCAGCACATCATTAATTAAAGCTCGTTAGAATGTACAAGCATACATAAATCCTTGAAGTTATTTATAGGGCTTAGCTAATTTCAAGCAATTATCCACTAATATGTACTTAAGTGTTCTTTAACTAAGAGGAGGCTTTTAAATCTTCCAAACATTTTTCTAAATCGTAAATTATATATGAAACAATAACAGTCCTAAAGTTCTCAGTATTGAATGCTACCTTTTGGATTAACAGATCACCTTGAACGAAGTAAAACACGTTATTTTTGTTACACTCTAGTTTAATAAATATCTCAGGCATCTGAGCTTTTTCATGCTGTTGAGAGCAATTTGTGTCACAATTGACACAAACTGTAGTTTCTAGTAAAGGCTTTTGAGTATTTTCCTTTGATTTTATTTGCCTTTCTTTATCTGAGTATGTATGTGTGGAGTAAGATTAAAAAGCATTTTATTGAAAAAACAAGTATAAATTTGTATTTCTTATTCTTAAATAAAGTAATTAAACCTTTGCTATTGAAAAATAGCATCATTCACAACCAGACCCCAAAAGAATGATAAATTCCTTGTTTTACCATGAAATTTCTGAAGAGGCGCATTGTTTTTTTGTGTTAATTTTTTTATATGTATTTAGGAACCCTTCACAACACTTTTCCTAAATCTACAAGGTGGGAAGTTTGATCATGCAGATAGGACATTTTCGTCTATTTCAAGAGCATGGCGCAACAGTCAGCGTGACACTTCTGACATCAAGGTAAAACATTTCCTGAAAGATGTTAATGTATTTTATAGTGCCCCTGCCTTTATGGTAGCTGGGAGTGTAGAATGGAAGGAAGAAGACTCAGAGCTATCCCATCATTTGGGAAAAGATACAAAGGAAATGACTTGTGGTTTTACTTGAGTCAGAATATTTCAGTGAAATCTTTTGTATAACTATAGCAAACATTTTTAGCCCTAAGACTGAAGTATTTTGAACGGGGGAGGAAAACAAAGGAGACAGGGATGCTGGCAGTGGTGGAAAAGGTCAAATCCAAGCAGGTAGATTAATATCAGAGTTGGATTTTTTAATGGGAGGAAGGATAGGAAAGTGTAATGTGAAGAAATCAGGGTCTATCTCGAGGATGTCATTCAGCCAGCAAAAGACCTAAGTGACACAAAATCATTCACTCACATTTATGGTGAGCAGACAATCTAGGAAAGGGTTGATTTGCAAATTAATGGAATGTGAAAATTATCAATGGATAATGTTGAAAAACGGATGCCTTTCTTGCATCTGTGAGTCTCCACCAATAGAACTGAAGGCAATCAGTGACTAGTGGAATTAATTAGAAAAATATCTAATGTCTATATGAAACTGGGAAAGAAGAGTTTAGAAATTACAAACACACTAGATTTTTTTCAAATTAATTAGTTGGTAATTATGGGCTTAATTTCCTTGTAACATGCAAGATTGGCAGATGCAATTTCAGAGTGCATTTTTGGGGTTTTTTTTTTGAGAAATGGAGAAGGAGAAAGATATCAGTAGTGGACAAATCAAGTATTTAATATGGAAAGAAAAGGGAGCCAAGAAATTATGAGGTGAGTTTAACTACAATTCACAGAAAAATACTTAGGCAAATAATCAGACTGTGTTTAAATGCCAGGAAGATAGCTTGGAGACAAGCAAATGAAACACATGTTTATCAAGAAGAGATTATGTCAAAGCAATCACAGTTTCTGATGAGAAAAGGTAACAGACCTTTTGAGCAGAGAAGAAGCAGATGATGATCTTAGTTTTTTACATTGTCTTATGAGTGAGCTGGGATTACTCTGTCTAAAAGAATCTACTGTATTTGGAGAATAGCTACCAGCAGTTCATTATTAAAACTGAAAGATGTACTGAGCAGAATTCTTCTTGATAATAACAGGTTAGGCCTCAGTTTCCATTGATACTAGATTGGGAGGTTGTGGAAGTGTAGTGGAATGGGTAGAGCTTCTTGCAGAAGGGAAAAAACATTTTAGAGAAGTGTTAGGGGAACTTTATTAGGGAGAATTAATAATTGTAATTTTCATGCAGCTTCTCATACAGTTATAACACAAAGAACAATCTATTGTGGAAAAAAAAAAGAGAAATATTTAGGGTTCTAGTACATCACCAGTGCATGTGAATTCACAGTATTATGGTATAACAATAGTGAGTATCATTTTATGGAAGATACATCAACAGGAAATAATGGAACTTCCAGTGTATGACAAAAATCTTCATTTTTGCCCAGTCTTGATTTGGTCTGAGCTGGAATATTACACTCATAGTTGTAGGCTAGCTGGAGAGAATCCACACTGGATCAATGATAACAATGCAAGGTCTTGAAAATAAAATGCAGGGAAAGATTGCTATGCTTAAGAAGCTATAAGCTATGCTTATTTTTCTTCTAAAGCAGAGCAGATGAAGGAGGAACTTGTGTCCTTCTATTACATGGAGACTGCTGTAAGGGAAAAAGGAAACAAATCTCTGATGTCCATGATGGATAGGGTAGGAATTAGTGGTCTTAAATATCAGGCAGATTTTGGTTAGAATCAAAGTAACCTTCCAAACAGAAAAATAAGAGCAATGAATGTTTCCCTGGCAATCAGTGTAGGGAGGATTTTCAGAGATGCTTAGGTAACTTTTGGAAATGATACATGTGCAAGCTGCTGCTGCCTTTAGAGGCATCCCTAATGTAAAGGATGATCTCTTGGAGTTGCTTATAGCTTCCTGAGACTGTTAATTGCTGTGAATTACATGATGCTGCTGTGAAGCATCTGAGTGAGCATTAAAATTGACTACAGGAGTCTATTAGTGAGATTGGATGAACAACCAGGAAGGGGGATGAGATTGGGATTTCCATAGGGCATGTTTAAAGAATTAGAAAGGAAATTGTTTTAATGTTTCAATCTTCACTGGAAATACCTGTATTCCCCATATCTCATTGCAGCTGTGAAAACCAAGTTTCCTGCTACTTGGTGCTCTTCCTTTCAAGTGTTTCTGAAATACTTGGCTAAATGCAGAATACACGTTCTGTATGCAGAATTGCAACATTTTAGTCTCCTATTGCTTGAATGTGTTTAATTGACTCATGTATAGAAGATGCTGAACAAAGTGGAACATGTAATTGTGCTCCTGTAGTTATTAGCAAGTAGGAACAAAGGGAAAATAAGGATTTGTTCCTCTTCCAGCTGAAAAAATTGCGACACTTAGAATAATTGCGCTGATTACAAGAAATGACTTCTCCTTGCTTCTCGTGTGGAAAGAGTGAATGCAATTATTGATGCTGCTGTCCTAAGATTATTGTTAATCTTAGCTGGAAGCACTGTATGTTAACAGGAGCTGGCTTTGGAAGGATCTCTTGCTGGCTGGTATCACTTCAGCAGAGAAAACTGAATCTTATGTGTGGTCACAACCAATCTGTGTCAATACCCTGGGAAAGCCTTGGGTTGATGATCAAAGCACAAAACCATTGTTCCTCTGTAGAATAAGGTTTCCTTGAACATAGCAAATTTTGATTTCAAGAGGTGGTATTTTGCATAAAATTAAATTTCCTAGTTCTCCCTATCCATTTATTTGAGCAATGCAAATTAAACATCCTTTGGAAGTCTGCTGGTGTCTCACTGCCACTCTGGCATTATTTACTAATTAGCTCAGGACTAGTGCCTTTAAATAATTAACCATGTGTTTTTAAGTTAAATATTCTGCACTAAAGAATACTGAATGTATTTCAATTCTGTTAGAGTACCACGTAGTGCTTTTAAAGTGCTATTACAGGCATAATAATTCAGTTATTTCTTAACTTACATTACAGGTGCAAACAACCCTGGTTAGTTTTGTTATTACCACAATAAAAGCAGACCTGGATAGCTGACGCAGTGCTGGAGTCAGGCTAGCTCTGCACCGTGCCTAGTGGGACACACCTCGGGAGCAGGCTGAGCCGAGATGCGGCTTAGAGGCAATGCTCTGCGACACAATGTGGCTGTCAGCACTGAGTGTGGAGGCAAGGATTGAGGAGGAGGCTGTCTGTATGGGCTCCAGGAACACATTTACTCACTGCAGGGATCAGGGACAAAGAGCAGAGCGCAGCCCTGTGCAAGGGTTCTTATACTGGGAAGGCTCAGGGGGCGGGTAGAATCTCTTAGCAAATCTGGGGGAACTAGGGGCGGTACTGAAGGTGGGATTTGCAAGGTTCCAACAAATGGGGAAACACAGTGGGAGGGACACAAACTGACAAGCAGGGCAACAATCCACTGGGGTGTCCTGCTTTAGGGGAATTCTAAAGGGGGGTCCAAGCCGAGGGTTGGTAGAAGGGAGGATTGACAGGAACTCACTGGAACAAGGGGCAGGGTCAGGGTGGGTTGGCACTCAAGGGGGAAAGCACAGGATTGACAGAGGGGAGGGACAGAGAACATTCTGGGTGAGGAGGCAGGGCAGTGACAGTGGTTGGCAGGGGACTGAGGAGGTACAACTTGGGGCAGAACAACTGAGCTGAGGGGTGACAGAGAGCACATATGTGCCACAACACAGCCTCCAGTATTTGTCTGCACTTGTTCAGAAGCTTCTTCCTTCTAGTTTGGCAGCTAACCTGTTGCAATAAATTTATTTCTCATTATATTTACAACAGTGTAATTGTAACTCATGTTGCACTTTGTCTGTATTTTCCCATTTTCCACTGTAGCTTGCTAATTGTTTTCAGGGTTTTGTTTTTTTTTTTTTGCTTGGTACCATATATACAGATTTCAAGATCGTCTGAAATCCTCTTGCTGTCCTCCAAACAGCTGTGTAGCCTTTTCTCAGTGTCATCTGGAATTTTACTTCTGCATCTTCTCCACCAGGCCGTTAATGAGATTATTGACTGGTATTAAGAGCAGGGCAGACTCCATTACCGTGTCCTCCCAGTCTGACAATGAACTATTGATAACTGCTCTTGGAATATGGATTTCCAGCTTGGCTACTCCCACATTATTGTAACCCAATCTCAACTCCATTCTCTAGTCTGCTTGTAAGAAATGTCATGGGAGACTGGGGAAGTCTCAGAGGTCTTTCTCAAAAGTAAAGCAACACCTTGCCTCTTTTTCTTTCACCATCCACTACTGCAACTTCCTTTTGAAAAGAGAATTAGATGGTTTAATGTAATTGATTTTTTTCACAATTTTTAACCAAGCTACAGTCACTAGTATAGAGCTATGTACTGTTCTGCATGCCTTTTCCTTTGCTGCTTTGTGTTTGTTTGTTTTTCACATGCTTGGGGTTGCTTTTGGTGAATTTGATTAGTTTAGTTCAAAAAAATATGCTAGGAGACCATAATATTAAAGAAAACATTAGTAAACTCCAATTACACTGCTCTAGATTGTTCCACCATAAAACAGACACTAATTTGTGAAATCCTGTGATATGACACACAACTCTGGCAGCCATTGTAAGGATGGGGGAATGGTACTGAATATCTGAATTTCCATCTCATACAAGTGTGTTTGGCAAATTATGATCCTCATAGTGTAAAACAGCTGAATTTTAAATATAGAAATGCTGCTTTGGCAAGTTAACTTTATTGTAAAACTCATTTGCATCCCATAATCTTAAGCAGTTTTTCTTTAAATCAAGCTTCATGTTTAAAGTCTCAGAAGTTACTGGAATAAAGTTGCTGTCAAACTGGCAACATCACCTTTGTATTGGAGAAATTTCATGTCATAGTAGTCACAAAACAAGCAATGACCAGCAAAATTCAGAAGCAAGTACCTAGAAAT